CCAGCTCCGAAGGGAGGGGAGAGCGGGGCAGGTGAAGTCCGGTGAAGGGAAATGGGCTCGGACGCTAGGAGAGAGTTAGGAGTAAGGGGGGTGGAGGAGGACTGCTGAGGCTGGGGCTTTATTATTAGGGAACGAGGTCTGGGCGGCCCTGAGACCCCTTCTAAACCAGGAATCTATGCACGAATGTTAGCCTTTCAAGCTCTTCTTAGGAACATTTCAGGAAGAAAACTGAGAAGGTAATCCAGTGAGCACGTGTGCCGTTGCTAAAGCATAAGGGCCAGCCTATCTTTCAACTCCACTGAAACCATCCCTGTGGGCACTGGTGCAGAAAACTTTGGTGCAGCCTGTTAGAGTTGGTCCTGTGTGAATAGATATTGGAGCCCTGTAGCCGCTTCACTGTGCAGACAAAAATGAGCCATGACTTGCTTTCAACACGTCTGCCCCAGGCCTAGTGGGGTGGAGCAAGGCCCTCACCTGCTCATCTGGAAAAGATGCATCTAGTCCTGCTAAATAAAGCTTAAATTGTCAGTGTCTTCACACTTATCCCATGTGTAATGGTTTGATGTGTGTTCATTTACAGACCAAGTACACGCTGATAGACGAGCAGGATATCCCGCTGGTGGAGAGCTACTCCTTCGAGGTGAGGGCAGCCTCTGTATACATGCTGCTCTGGTTGGGTGCTGGGAGTGCACACAGGAGGAGTGAGTTTCCTACCTGGACTGTAATAATGAGGTACAGCCCACAGGGGATTTCAGGTGCCAGCCACTGTTGCCGAAGCCCAGGCTCCACACAACTGTGCCCCCCCCATATGAAAGTGGTCTTTCTTTCTTCTCACCTGTTGCTACCTCTTGAAAATACTGCCTTTTGTCGTGCTTTTGATTGGATGTCTGTTAAAGTGGGTGGTGTGTTTACCTGCTTCTGTTGGTCTCCGTCATCTCTGCATTGAAGCCATATGTATGTAGTCCCTTCCTAGGGGTCTTAGTGAAGAGCCCCTGCTCTGCTATAGGTGGCTGTGGCTCCTCCTCTGTGGTCAGTGGTCCCACACCACTCTTTCAATTTCTTTTTTTTTTTTGTACCAGGGATTGGACTCGGGTCTTTGCGCTTGCAAGGCAGGCCACCAAACCACTGAGCTAAATCCCTGGCTCCACACCACTCTTTCATCTCGGTTTCGCTCTTGCTGGATTGTGGGCTTTTATAAGGATGGGAAATTTCTGTCTGTAGGTTTGGTTTTTTTAATTGATTATGTATTTTTTTTTTTGAGATAAAGTTTTACCATACTGTCCAGGCTATCCTTGAACTCACAGTCCTCCTGATAGCTGGAATTACAGGTATGCAACACCACTGTCTGCCTGTTCACAGTATTTTGCAAGGAGTTGTTCTTGAGGTTTTCTTGCTAACGTGGAGGACAGAGTTGGGACATGGATGGTGTTTGGTGCTCTATGTCAGTGGGAGCCCCTGGAGACTCCTAGTATCTCCACACTGGCACTTGTCCCTGTGGCTGTTGTTTCGCTTGATTTTTCTTTCTTTCTCTTTTCTTTTTTTTCCAGTTACTCAGGATTGAACCCAGCGTCTTCATGCTGAACTGCATCCTCAGCTACTTTTTTATTTTTCAAGACAGGGTCTTACTAAGTTACCCAGGTTGTTCAATCTTGCCATCCTCCTGCCTCAGCTTCCCAGAGTGCTGGGTCACAGGGGTGCACTACCATTCCTCGCTTTGCTTGATTTTCCTAAGTGGGATTTGAGATATTGCTGAGAATTGGAGGCTTTTAACAGACCTTTCTTTATTCTTTCAGGCTCGAATGGAAGTAGATGCAGACGGAAATGGTGCTAAGATATTTGCATATGCCTTCGACAAAAATCGAGGCAGGGGATACGGCAGGCTCCTCCATGAGCTGCTGTGGTGGGTATTTTCTGGCTGCCTTATTTCTACCAGGTCCTGTGGGGCTCTGGTGGGCATGGGCTGCTGGAGGCAGCAGAGCCCGCACCAGGTGGAGCTGAACTGACCTCACTGGAATTTATGAATTACTTGTGTACTTTGCCACTAATGAAGGGAAAGGTGAATTTGCATGTAGTGGCACCAAGTGGGCTTTCTGCTGGGGCGGATCTTCTGTCCCCCCCGCTTTTGGTACCAGGGATTGAACTCAGGACCTTGAGCTTTCAAGGCAGGTGCAGTGCCCCTGCTAAATTGGGGTGGGTCTTCTGGAAAAGAAGGGTTCTTTCTTTGCCAGCCTTGTGCTAAGCTTGGCGGTAGGATATGGGCCCCTGCTCCTTGGTATGTATACACAGTGGGGCTCAACTGTGGATACCATTCACTAGCAGAGATTAACTCCAGGCTGTCTTTATAGGTGGATTTGGGGCTCCATCTTGTCTGTCTGTGTCCACACCTTAAATCCAAGTCAGAATCATCCATGTGATCCCCATTCTGTCTGGGCAAGGACTTGGGTTCCTTTTGGCCATTCTTCACAAGTGTCCCCATCAGTAGGATGAGGAAGTTCAGACCCTGTTGCTGGTGTTTCTTGTTGGACTTGCAGACCTTTGTGCCTAAGCAGAAATACCTGTGAGGCACAGAGGCAGCACTCTAGGGAATTGTTTTTTCCTAGGGAGCGTCACAGGGGCGGCGTGGCTCCTGGCTTTCAGGTGGTGCATCTCAATGCTGTGACTGTGGATAATCGCCTGGACAACTTGCAGCTGGTGCCATGGGGCTGGCGACCCAAAGCTGAGGAGACCTCCGGCAAACAGAGGTGGGCTTTCCCAGCCACACCTCCTGCTGTGCCCCTGATGTCTCTGTATGCCTTCCTCTACACACCAGAGACCTTTCCCCACATAGCGTGAGGGCCTCCAAGGTTTCATTAGAGGGTGGGATATTTTGATGGTTCGCTCTTTGAGTCAATTGGGTGATAATTGGCTCTAGGAACCTTACAGCGGATGGGATGGGTGGAGGCTAGCATTGGGCCACTCCCTTGCAGCTTCCTCCTGTGCACAGACCTGGTCTCTTTGTCACCTTCTTTGAGAGGGTCTTCCTGACTAGTTGAAGGAAGCAAGGATACTGTGGTTCCATGGGTTGGCTTTTTGGCCTTGGCCGGGCTCTCCATGTTCCTGAAAACTTTTTGCATGACCTTCTTGCTTGGCATTGCAGTTCTGCTGGTCAGGACCAACCCAGCTGTGAGACTCACAGAGTTCTTGGGAAGAGCCAGGGACTAGCAGGACAGGGTTCAGGAGCGAACTGGGCCCTGGGGTACCCAGCCTTATGTGTGTCATTGGTGGCTTAGTGTAGCCTTTCTTGATGTCAGTGCTCACTGCCATAGCAGATGGGTGGTAGGTTTGGGGTGGTGTGCAGGACCTTTACAGTCAGCCTCTCTGGGTCGTGCCATAGCCCTGCACTGCTGAGATAGAAGTGGTGATGTGAGGGGACAGTCCCTGGGCCATTGTCTAGGTCTGCGGACTACATGCTTTACACATTCTTTGTAGACCTCACAGAGTGAAGGCAGAGCCTATGAGTGCCTTGGCTGTTGGTTTTGTTCCTGCCCTTATATCAGTGTTTTGGCACTTAATGTCCTGTTACTCCCACCCGCACCAGGGACTGAACCCAGGGCCTTAACACTGAGCTACAGCTCTAGCTATTTTAAAATTTTTCTTTTTTTTGGGATGGTGATGGTGGGTGATAACGTCTGGCTATGTAATTCAGACTGACCTAGAACTCACTATGTAGCCCAGGCTAGACTCAAACTTGAGATTATTCTCCTGCCTCAGCCTTCCAAAGGCTGGGATTTTTGTTTGCCACCATGCCTAGTTTGAACTTTGGTTTTGAGACAGTCTCACTGAGATGCCCAGTCTGGCTTGAGCTTGTGATCGTCCTGCCTCAGCCTCTCTGAGTGCAGGGATTTCAGGCGTGTGCCTCTATGTCTAGTCAAAGTTGAGTAGGCTATTTATCTTTGGGGGATTATGTTAGTTTTGACCTTGGGTTCAAGTAAAAGAAGCTGAGCTGAAGTTGGCTGAAGCAGAGAGTGAGCTCTTACAGGACAGTGCCACCACCTCCACTTGTACTATATCTGGGACTCTTTCTTGCATTGGAGTGGACACCAGCAGTAGCAGATCCCCTGGCCACCTTCGCTGCCTCCATGTACCACTCCCACCCATGTCACCAGCATGGGCGTGTCTGCTGTGATCTGGCTCTCCTGTGGCTGAGTGTTTTTACTCCTCTAAATACCCCCTGAAGTCACAGACACAGTAATGGCAGCTATGAACCCATTTGGAAAAAGGGCATAGGGCTGGAATTGGTCCATTGGCTTAGGCCCCTGCTGTGGCTACTGGGGGATGAGTCCTGACAAGGCTGTGCCTCAGAGGCAGCTACTGCTGGTGGAGGTGGCCTAGGTTGGCCACCATTTAGAATTCAGGAGTGTGCAGTCAGCTTCTGGGTCTGGCCCCAGGCCAGGAGCAGCGAAGATTGCCTGAGGGGTAAAGTCCCAGCTGCCCTGGGCTTGTGCCCTCTCTGTGGGCTGGGAGAAGGACGCTGGCTTCCCCCAGGCTTTGGCTTCTGCTCTGCTTCCCTCTCAGTGAGCAGTGGTCATGATGGGGTGATGAGTTCAGCCCCTGCATGGTGTGTGCCCCACTCTAAACCTCCAGAGGATGTTCCTGAGCATTAGCTGTTTTGCAGGGCCTTCTGGAAGGGCTCAGGAAGCAGCCTGAGGCTTTTCCACACACCAGACCTTCTAGTCAGTGGCATTGAGGATAGGCTGGCTAGAGGGGGGATGGCGGTTCATCAGCTTCTTGGCTCCCAGGGTATGGGCTGTGCCCCCTGAAGTCCAGGCAGGGGTTGGGTTCCCTATGCTCTGGCCAGGGGCTTAACAGTGCCGTGTGTGCTGTTCAGACCTCAGTCCTTTGTTTAATTCTCGGTAGTGCCTGGCTTACCTAAGCAGTAGGAGTTTATCAGAAGGTCACAGGGCAGCTCCCAGTGTCAGAGTGGAAGTAGCTGTGGGGCCACAGGGGCCCCCACCAGTCCAGGGCAAGAGGGGCTGACGTCCATGTTTGTGCCCGCTTTGTGCCTTTAGTCAGTTACTGAGCAGAGAGAGAGGCAGTGCTTGTGTGCAGTGGGAGGACAGAATGCTGAGCCAGAGTCCAGTTGTTGGGACACAGATTGGGCTGAGGGTGTCCTGGCGTCACATTGCCCCTTGTGCTGATGCTTTCTAACAGGCATGCACTGAGGTTCTGCTTTCTTTCAGGGAACAGAGCTTGTACTGGCTTGCGATCCAGCAGCTTCCCACAGACCCCATAGAAGAGCAGTTCCCTGTCCTGAATGTGACCCGGTACTACAATGCCAATGGGGACGTGGTGGAAGAGGAGGAGAATTCCTGTACCTACTATGAATGCCACTACCCGCCCTGCACAGCCATCGAGAAGCAGGTGCCGCAGCTCCTAGGCTGCCCACCACACCCACACTGCCACCCACCTGTGGTCCGGGGTCCACCCCAGTAGACCCTGGGTGCCTCTGTTGCTCTCCCACCAGGGTAGCTTTCCCTTTGTTGTTGTACCCACTCAGGTGGGCATTCCTGTCCCCATGCATGGATCTTTTTGTGTTTGCTTGTGGTGCCGGGGCTTAAACCCAGGCCTTCCATGCTGGACAAGCGCTCTGCCACTGAGTTGCACCCCAGCCAGGGCATGGGGTTCTGTTAGGCCCTTCCAGGTTCCAGGAGGTACCCCCCACATGAAAGTGAAGCCATGATGGTCTATGTTTCAGCTCCGGGAGTTCAACATCTGTGGGCGTTGCCAGGTGGCCCGGTACTGCGGCTCCCAGTGCCAGCAGAAGGACTGGCCTGCCCACAAGAAGCACTGTCGGGAGAGGAAGCGACCCTTGCAGCACGAGCTTGAGCCGGAACGATGACGGGCAGTGGAGCAGTCATGCTGCAGGCTGTGGCTTCCAGCTCTTCTGTGGATACAGCGGAGACTGGCGGTTGAATCTGGAGGTGCTGAGGAAGCCAGTGTCTTGGCCCAGTCACCTTGAAACTTCCTACAGCACACACAGTTTGTGGGGACAGTGCCCTCCAGTGTTAATCTCCACCAGAGACAAGGGGGAGGTTCCCCAGGACGTTTCTCATTATTTATATGTTAATATGTTTGTAAACTCATGTACAGTTTTTTTGGGGGGGAGACAAGGGAATGGTTAGAAACTACAAATAGAATCACTTGCTGAAATCCTCAAGTAGCAAACAGTTGGCTGTGTATCTAGAAACTGTCATGTAGCTGAGCTTCAGTCCTTGGCAGTGGGGCCCAGGTGTGGCCTGCACAGGTCGAGTCTGAAAGGGCAGAGTAAAGGGGTGGAACTGTCTCTGTCTTGGCTGTCCTCTCCTCTCCCTGTGCAGTGTAGGTTCAGGCTGGCTTCAGTGTGGACTCAGCCATGTGGCGTGGATGGGAGAACCTACCCTGATTCCACACGGCCTCTTGAGGAGCAGAGTGTGCCGGGCCTTTCTCTGGAGCTTGACCGGCAGTGCTGGTGGCAGGGGCTGTGGGATCTCACTGTGTTAGTTTTCTCTTAGTGCCGAGATAAAACACCCAACATCCAAAGTTAAAGGGGAAAAGGTTTATTTAGCTCAGTTTGTAGAAGTTTTAGTCCATAATCAACTGGCTTCAAGGCAGAGGGGCAGAGAAGGGTCAACAGTTCATGGTAGGCAGACTATAGCAAAGCAACAAGAGAGTTTTAATGGCTGCTTCCTGCCCCTTTTATTCAGACTACCTCGGATGGGTAGCACCCATACCCTCAATCCTAGTACCTGCAGGCCTAGCATTGTACTATGAGTCAGTCACACACTAGATTCTGCCACCTCTGAAAAAGTCCCACCTACAGCTGCATGAGGCTTTTGGCAGGACATTAGACACAGCTATAACTCACCTTGTCTTACACATGGTGCCACCAGGGTCAGAATGAGCTGCCCAGAAAAATACAGCAGGCCTTGGAGGTACCTAGATTCCACGTGGGTCCCTGTGCTTCCGTTTGGGGAGCAGCATCTGAGGGCTGCTCAGTACCTCCAGCAGCTGCAGGGAAATAAATCCTGCTTTGTGGCTGTGAGCTTGCCTGTCCTGAGCTCCAATCTGCCGTCCAACCTGGCCTCATATTGGTCTGTGTCTTAGTCACTTTCCTGTCACTGGGGTAGAATATCTGATGTCTGCAACTTAAAGGAGGAAAGGTTTGTTTGAGTTCAGGATTTCAGACATTTTAGCCCATGTGTGGCTGGCTCCAGAGCAGGAACTAGAGGGGTGTGCCAGAGAAAAGCTGCTCAACCCATGCGGCCAGGAAAATGCGCTGGGGACAAGAATTCACCTTTCTGGGTTAGGCCCCAGTGACCCATCCCCTCCAACCAGACTCTGTCTCCTAAGACCTATGAACTGTGAGTACTCTTCTGCCCACGATTCCCAAAGCCCCACTGGAACACAGAAGATGGACATATTTTACATAAACAATAGACTGTGAGTTCCTGTTATCCCCTCTTTTGTGGAACTGGGAATTGAACCCAGGCCCTTTGCATTGAGTTACATCCCCAGTTCTTTTTCTCTTCAATACTGAGGCAGTTTCGCTAAGTTGCCCAGGTTGAGGCCAGTCGAGATTCTCCCTCTGCTTCCGACAGTGCTGGGATTATAGGCATATGCCATTGTGGCTGCCTGTCTGTCCCAGTGACTGAACCTTTTAAAGTTCTTCAGTGAGAGAAACTGCCCACTGTGGTGCACATGCTGTAGGTTCTCCACTGCCCTATCCCCTCACATAGCACTTCTGCCAAATTCTAGGATTCTCTTAGGTGCTCCTTGCTGTCCCTGGTGGAGTATGGCCCTTTGGTGGCTTTTGGTCTGTGAGCAAGGCGCTAGAGAAGCGGGCAAATCCTGACTACAGAATAGCACCGTGATCACTGTTGGGGTATTTTCTGGAGCTTGGGGAACTCCGTGTGCCCTTGGACCTGCGCCAGGAGGTCCCACCAAGGTTCCTGAAGGTGAGGGATGTTTTTTGCTGAATGAATGGGATCCTGCTCAGACCACAGGTTGAGCCGCCTTGGGAAGGGGAGGGAGGTATGTGTGACTCCAGCACAGTGCTTTATGTAGATGGCCCCTGGCTTGAGCCTGGAGCATCCTGGAGCTGTAGTAATCTTGCTTCATCCAGGGTCCAGCAGAGTCCAGGACAGCTGGGATGGAGGAACCTGGGTGTTTGGCATGTTGGGCTTAAGTGAACTTTGATGGCTTTTGCACAATGGCTCTGAGGATGAGTTCCACACTGCAGGCCTTGGTCTTTGTGTCCTTTAGAGAGTGGCCAGGTTGGGACATGAGCCTGTCCATATCCCCTGCCCAATAGATCTGCCCTGCATTCACAACCTCAGCAGAAAGTGACATTGGTCTCACAAGTGACCCATAGGGGGACGGCTCTGGGTGTGCTGGGGGCGCCTTTCCTCCTTGCCTACTCTTGGCAGCACAGATGCTTCTCTGCAGGTGGGGTCTGCAGGCTGCTTTCATTCCTGTTTGCTTCCCTGGTCCCTGTGGCTCCTCCTCTGAGGATCCTGACCTTGTCCTCGTAGCTGGTCCATGAGGGTGTGCAGGGGCACTGAGGTGGGTGAAGCCTGTTTCTACTCTGTCCGTGGTAGGCTGCTTGGCTTCAGTGTCCTGTGGCTGACAGATGGGAGCTTGAGGTTGGTCTGAATGCCTCCCTGTTTTCCCTGCTGCGTCTGCCTCAGCTGCTGCCCACCTCCTGGTCCTGGAGGTGGGTTTCCAGCCATGGCTTTGCTGCAGCCTAGGGCTGGATACCCAGGTATCCCCTGGCTCTCTTGTCTCTGTGTCACCTATACAAACAGTGGCCCAAAACAATAGGGAGGACTGTCTTGGTTTTGGAGGCCAGGAGTTTTCATCCAATTGCCCAAAACACATCCCTTGAAGCACTAGGGAGAGAGGTGTTCCGTGTTCTCTCTGTCAGTGTCTACTAGCACTGCCTTGTACTACTTGACTTGACTACTGACTTGACTACTACTGGCTTGTATATGCTCATTCCAGTCTTCAAATGATGGTGCTGTGTGTCCTTGGTCTTCTACTTCTGTCCAGGTGTTCCTCTTCATAAAGATATCTGTTATAAGCCAGGCGTGGTGGCACATGCCTGTAATCCCAGCACTCAGGAGGCTGAGGCAGGAGGATTGTGGTGAGTTCGAGACCAGCTTGGGCTACATAGTTCCAAGTCAGTCTCAACTACATAGACCCTGTCTCAAAAAAACAAAACAAAACATCTGTTATATTCCATCTGGGCCCACCCTAATGCTACAGCTGAGTGGGCGAAAATGGCCCAGGTTCTTGTATACAACAAGGAAAGAATGGCCAAGTGTATACCTCCTAGTATGCAGTGAGTTCATTGAAAATTACAAGGCAGCAGCAGGAACAGGCAGAAGGGCAAGGTGGGCCAGAAGTGGTTTGTAACTCAGGCTTCTGGTATGTGCAGGGTCAGACACCTGCTGGTTTCTCTGTGCCTCCCACTATCTCTGATGTCTGCAATCTTTGAGACCTGCTAAGCTTAAGCCTGAATAATCCTTCCATTTTAACTTTGTTTTGTTTGTTTTTTGAGACAGAGTTTCATTATGTATTTCAGACTGCCCTGGAACTCACTATCTAGCCCAGGCTAGTCTCAAACTCGCAGGATCCTCCTGCCTCAGCCTCCCGAGTGCTGGGATTACAGGCGTGTGCCACCATGCCTGGCTTCATTCTGTTTGGACCTCGACCAGAGAATAAGCAGTCGTTTACACACACTGAACAAAGGTCACATTCTGAGATCCTGGGGGTTAAGACTTCAACATATCTCAATGCTCAAATGCTCAAGTCCCTTCCCTAGGATATTCTGTAGAATCTGGGACTTTTTTTTTTTTTTTGAGACAGGGTCTCAGTATATAGCGCTGAGTGGCCTTGAACTCCCAGCGATCCTCCTGCCTCAGCCTTTCAAGTGCTGAGAACACAGGCGTGCGCCACCATGCCCAGCTAGCCCGGGAAATTTCTCGAGGGGCTTTAGCATCTGCCCAGCGTCCAAGGGGAGATCGTATTTCCCTCCTGCTTCCCAGACCGCGGCCTCCTCCGCGTCTCGGTGCGCCCGTGTGCTGCGCGCTCCCCACGCGGTCTTTTCCATGGCC